AGCCTTAAGTCAATAAAGACTGAGAAGGTTGACTAAAGAACAAATTAACAAATTTTTTTATTAAATATTATTTATTAAATATTAAATTTTTATTTTTATTAAATATTAAATTTTTATTAAATATTAAATTAAGGCTCCATTGGAGAATTCAGACCTAAGCATTAATCGAGAAGCGATGGGGACGACGGAACCCGTGAATGCAGAGGATTCTATTGAAAACGAATCCTAATGATTTATCGGGTAGGATGGCGGAACAAACCAGAGACCACTTCATTTCTTTTTATTCTGTTCTGATTCTGAGAGGTCATGAGTTAACCCGACAACTGAAATAGATATTGAAAGAGTAAATATTCGCCCGCGAAAATTTTATTTTCATTTTAAAAATTTTATTTTCATTTTTTTTTTTTATTTTCATTTTAAAAATTTTATTTTCATTTTATTTGATTGTTAAATTTTTGTCGATCCGAGATGAATATGATAAAAAAAGACAAAACAAAATAAAGATTCGTTATAACATTATAACAAAAACAAGATAAGACATTATCTATAAATAGAATCCATGTTTAATTACTTATATATATATCCAATATATATCCAAACAAGATATACAAATTTATAATAGATCAGATAAAATCTCAAATAGATCAGATAAAATCTCAAAGCAAAGAATCCCAGGATTCAATCTATTATTCAGTAACTACCTATATATCTTAAGAATAAAATAAAATATTTTTTAGTCATTTTTTTCGCGAGGAGCTGGATGAGAAGAAACTCTCATGTCCAGTTCTGTAGTAGAGATGGAATTAATAAACAACCATCAACTATAACCCAAAAAGAACCAGATTTCGTAACCAACATAGAGGAAGAATGAAAGGAATATCTTATCGAGGTAATCGCATTTGTTTCGGTAGATATGCTCTTCAAGCACTTGAACCCGCTTGGATTACATCTAGACAAATAGAAGCGGGGCGCCGCGCAATGACACGAAATGTACGCCGTGGTGGAAAAATATGGGTACGTATATTTCCAGACAAACCAGTTACGGTAAGATCTACAGAAACACGTATGGGTTCGGGGAAAGGATCTCCCGAGTATTGGGTAGCTGTCGTTAAACCGGGCAGAATACTTTATGAAATGAGCGGAGTAGCCGAAAATATAGCAAGAAAGGCTATTTCAATAGCGGCGTCCAAAATGCCTATAAAAACTCAATTCATTATTTCAGGATAGGAATATAGAACCAAAGGAAAGAAGTCTTGGGAATAAAAAAAACAATTGCGGGTTTCCTTTTTTTTTTTTTTTGACAAACAATATTTCTTTTTTTCTTCGTCCTTTGTTCCATTGAAAGAAGAGATTAAAAAAAATGATTCAACCTCAGACCCATTTGAATGTAGCAGATAACAGCGGGGCCCGAGAATTAATGTGTATTCGAGTCATAGGAGCTAGTAATCGCCGATATGCTCATATTGGTGACGTTATTGTTGCTGTGATCAAGAAAGCAGTACCAAAGGCACCTCTAGAAAGATCAGAAGTGATCAGAGCTGTAATTGTACGTACTTGTAAAGAACTCAAACGCGACAACGGTATGATAATACGATATGATGACAATGCTGCAGTTGTCATTGATCAAAAAGGAAATCCAAAAGGAACTCGAATTTTTGGTGCGATCGCCGGGGAATTGAGACAGTTAAATTTCACTAAAATAGTTTCATTAGCTCCTGAGGTATTATAAGACGAGACCTCAATTCAATATAGTTATAGTATTTAAATTAGAGTATTTAAATGACATAGATTAATTAGTAGATTGTGTCTCACGTATATACCTTTACTAAGTAAAAAAAAAAAAGAACATGTTGGTTATATCAAAATTCGGGAGCAACAATAATTTTAGTTTACCATGGGTAAGGACACTATTGCTGACATAATAACTTCTATACGAAATGCTGACATGAATAGAAAAGGAACGATTCGAATAGGATCTACTAACATCACTGAAAACATTGTTAAAATACTTTTACGAGAAGGTTTTATCGATAACATAAGGAAACATCGGGAAAGAAACAAATATTTTTTGGTTTTAACCCTACGGCATAGAAGGAATAGGAAAGGACCATATAGAACTATTTTAAATTTACGACGGATCAGTCGACCCGGTCTACGAATCTATTCTAACTATCAACAAATTCCTAGAATTTTAGGCGGGATGGGGATTGTAATTCTTTCTACTTCTCGGGGTATAATGACAGACCGGGAGGCTCGACTAGAAGGAATCGGCGGAGAAATTTTGTGTTATATATGGTAATCTGTCTAACATCCGAATTGTATCCGAATCCGAAACTTTCCATTTGTGAAAAAAAAAAGCACGGGTTGTCTAATAGAACTCCTCCTGCCCTACAGTAGTTGATACGTCAAGGAAGTTTTACCTGGAATAAAAGAACAAAAATGGATTCATGGAGGTTTAATTAGTGAATCACGTCCACTCCAGATTCCTTTAGATAATGAAGATCTGATTCTAGGTTATGTTTCAGGAAGGGTCCGATCGAGTTTTATACGTATACCACCGTGGGATAGAGTCAACAAAAGTGAAGTAAGTGCTTATGATTCAACCAGGGGGCGTATAATTTATAGACTCCGCAACAAGGATTCGAACGATTAGGTAGTTTTTTCAACTTCAAGATTCCTTTCAGGGGGATCCAATTCAAGGTTCAAAAATTTCAAGAAACTTATTTTCTTCCAATAAGTAGATTCGGAAAAATTTAAGGAATAACAACTATGAAAATAAGGGCTTCCGTTCGTAAAATTTGTGAAAAATGTCGACTAATCCGTAGGAGGGGACGAATTGTCGTAATTTGTTCCAACCCGAGACATAAACAGAGACAAGGATAATCTTTCTATTCTAAAAAGAACTCCTTAAAGTTAAAGAAAAGAAACTAATCTTAAAGAAAGCGATGAACAAATAAAAATAGAAGATCTGTTTTGACATGAAATGGATATATCCATATATCTCTGACTTATCCTTATGAAATGATAAAATATGGCAAAACCTATACCAAAAGTTGGTTCACGTAGGAATGGGCGCAGTAGTGCACGGAAAAGTGCACGTAGAATACCAAAAGGAGTTATTCATGTTCAAGCAAGTTTCAACAATACCATTGTTACTATTACAGATGTACGGGGTCAGGTAATTTCTTCTTCCTCCGCCGGTACTTGTGGATTCAAGGGTCCAAGAAGAGGGACTCCTTTTGCTGCTCAAACCGCAGCGAGAAATGCTATTCGAGCAGTAGTAGACCAAGGTATGCGACGAGTGGAAGTTCTGATAAAAGGTCCTGGTCTCGGAAGAGATGGAGCATTACGAGCTATTCGTAGAAGTGGTATACTATTAAGTTTCGTACGGGATGTAACCCCTATGCCACATAATGGCTGTAGACCTCCTAAAAAAAAACGTGTGTAGAAATAAACACTAAAGAGATTTCAAGAGAAATAAATGATTCAATGATCTGATCAAATAAAATAATATTACTATGGTTCGAGAGAAAGTAAAAGTCTCTACTCGGACACTGCAGTGGAAGTGTGTTGAATCAAGAACAGATAGTAAGCGTCTTTATTATGGACGCTTTATTCTGTCTCCACTTATGAAAGGCCAAGCCGACACAATAGGCATTGCGATGCGAAGAGCTTTGCTTGGAGAAATAGAAGGAACATGTATTACACGTGCAAAATCTGAGAAAATACCACACGAATATTCTACCATAGTAGGTATTCAAGAATCAGTACATGAAATTTTAATGAATTTAAAAGCAATTGTATTGAGAAGTAATTTGTATGGAACTCGTAACGCCTTTATTTGTGCCAAGGGTCCCGGATATGTAACTGCTCAAGACATCATCTTACCGCCTTCTGTGGAAATCGTTGATAATACACAGCATATAGCTAGCCTAACCGAACCAATTGATTTGTGTATTGGATTACAAATCGAGAGAAATAGAGGATACGGTATAAAAACGCCAAAGAACTTTCACGACGGAAGTTATCCTATAGATGCTGTATTCATGCCTGTTCGAAATGCGAATCATAGTATTCATTGTTATGGGAATGATAATGAAAAACAGGAGATACTTTTTCTAGAAATATGGACAAATGGAAGTTTAACTCCTAAAGAAGCACTTCATGAAGCCTCTCGGAATTTGATTGATTTATTTATTCCCTTTCTAGATGCGGAAGAAGAAAACTTACATTTAGAAAACAATCAACACAACGTTACTTTACCTTTTTTTCCTTTTCATGATAGATTAGCTAAACTAAGAAAAAAGAAAAAAGAAATAGCATTGAAATATATTTTTATTGACCAATCAGAATTGCCTCCCAGGATCTATAATTGTCTCAAAAAGTCCAATATACATACATTATTGGACCTTTTGAATAACAGTCAAGAAGACCTTATGAAAATTGAACACTTTCGCATAGAAGATGTAAAACAAATATTGGGCATTCTAGAAAAGAAGTAGAAAAGCATTGCGAAATTGATTTACCAAAATTTTAAATCCATTGGATTTAGGATTTATTTCATTTTTTTTTTTTTTACTTTAGAAAATTAGAAAAAAAAAAAAAAAACGAAAATGGATTTTGAACCTTCAGCACAATCCATATATTGGGACCAGAATTGAATAAATGTATCTAGGGAGAATTCACTTTGACTTTGAAGTGACTACTCCCTAGATACGCACATCATGATATTTTATTTTAAAATTGATTCAATTTAAAAAAGACCTAAAGTTAGGGATTTATCAATCGGTAATGTTGCTCCAATACCCAACCAAAGGGCCACCGCAGTACCAATCAAAAAAACGGTTGTCGCTACTGGACGACGAAATGGATTTTGGAATTTATTAACATTTTCCAAAAAAGGTACTGTTAATAATCCCGCAGGTACTGAAACCATTAAAAGAACACCCAATAACTTGTTAGGTACTGTACGAAGTATTTGAAATACAGGAAAGAAATACCATTCAGGTAATATTTCCAAAGGAGTTGCAAATGGATCCGCGGGTTCACCAATCATTGAAGGTTCTAGAACCGCTAAGCCTACGTTACAAGCAATAGTACCGAGAATTACTACTGGAAAAATATATAAAAGATCATTGGGCCATGCGGGTTCCCCATAATAATTATGACCCATACCTTTAGCTAATTTAGCTCTTAATACAGGATCGTTCAAGTCAGGTTTTTTGTTATTAGGATAGGTGAATTTTTCTAGATCCATCCCCGAAGGAACCGGACATGATAATTTTTCATCATCCGGCTCAAGCAAAAATCAATCGAATCAAATGGATACAAACGGATACATATAAAATGAATCTATATGTTATCCACACATATATGAATGATTTCATATGTAAGAAAAAAGTTACCTGATTCCATTTTACGAAGTTGCAACTATACATTCCAAGGAATGCCATTTTTACAGGTAAATGCTCAATACCCAAGTAGGCGTACAAAGTTGATCGTGATCAAGTGCTTTCTGGGTCGTCTTAGGCCTTGCGATTCACCTTTATCCCAAAAATATATCGAGATTTTTTACATACAAAGGATTTACTTGTTACTAATATAGTCTAGCCTTTGCTCTTCTTTAGATCCCTTGTTTCACTCCGATAGTATAATAATAATAAATCGGGTCGATGCAGAAGAAATGAATGTATTTTCATACTATTAAGATAAGAAAGTAAAAAAAAATAAAAATAAATAAATAAAATCTAATTTGCATTATGCCAAATCACTTATTCTACTGGATCTTACGGAGCCCTGTTCATACACGACATCGTCAGGTCTGATCATAGAAAAGATTCTCTTCAAGCGAACCAGCCTATCCTTTGTATGGGGCTTACACGGTGGTTGGAACAAAGACACATTTGGTTGTGAATTCCAATGTAGCAGATAAAGGCATATTTCTGCATGGCCCAATCAATAGTTCAAGTCACACACTCCCATAATCCATTTTCTCTTCGGGGAATTCCCTTCAACTATTCATGTCATATCAAATAAATAATAGAATATTGTGGAGTTGAAAGGAAATATCCAAATACATGTCTTATTTTTTTTTTTTTTTCAACAATCCATATTTGTAGCAATGAAATACTATTGTTCCTCCCCCAAGTAATAAGATAAATGATTGGCAAGTAATAAGATAAATGATTGGTTACAATATAGCTATGGTCTATATTCTCTATAAAGGACCAGAAATGCCTTGCTTACGTATCATTAGGAAATGCATTAACATAAATACAGCAGTAAGAAGGGGTAATACAAAAGTGTGTAAACTATAAAAACGGGTCAAAGTGGATTGTCCCACACTAGCACTTCCACGCAATAACTCTACCAAAGGCGATCCTATTACCGGAATAGCTTCCGGAACGCCTGTTACGATTTTGACTGCCCAATAACCAATTTGGTCCCAAGGTAAGGAATAACCTGTTACACCAAAAGATGCAGTCAACACAGCCAGAACCACGCCTGTAACCCAAGTCAATTCGCGAGGTTTTTTAAAACCACCAGTGAGATAGACACGAAATACGTGCAGGATCATCATTAAGACCATCATACTTGCCGACCATCGATGAACTGATCGGATTAACCAACCAAAGTTAGCTTCAGTCATTATGTATTGAACAGAAGTAAAAGCCTCAGTAACGGTTGGACGATAGTAAAAAGTCATAGCAAATCCTGTAGCTACTTGTACCAAAAAACAAGTAAGCGTAATTCCTCCTAGACAATAAAATATGTTAACATGAGGAGGAACATATTTACTAGTTATATCATCTGCAATCGCCTGAATCTCGAGGCGTTCTTCGAACCAATCATAGACTTTATTGAGATAGGTAAACCAAGAGGACTCCCCCCCTGAGAACCGTATATGAGAATTTCATCTCGTACAGCTCAAACAAAAACACCCAAATAATAGCTGAAACGGATATGGAATAGAAAGTTTGAAACTTCTTAATCTTTTCATTCAATTTTATCTGAAGACACAAAAGAGTAAAAATCCGAAAGCTCTTTTTTGTAGTTGTAATTATAATGCCAAAAAATCAAGTCGGCGCATTCGTCTTTATGTTGATCAGGCCTCTTGAATCTTCTATTTACCTACTTATTTCTTTTCTTTTTCTTTGCTTTGATTTGTTATTTATATGGAATGTGGCTTTATTCTTGTTTTCTTTATTTTTAATAGGAATTCTCTTGTTAAGACCCTATGAATCAATTGAAACTTCAGATTCATACCAGAACCGCGATGATTCAATAAAACCTTCAAACTAAGTCCAAAGATTCTTTGAGTAAGAATTATTGGATCATCACTTATTCAATGAATAGAATAGATATAATAAATAAAAATACAAGAAAAGAAAGGTTTGTCCTTTGATCAAAATAAGCATAAACTAAATGAGAGTTTGAAAGAAGAAAAAATTTCTCGATTTATAAATAAAAAACCTTTTCTTTGAAAATTTTTTTTTTTTTTGAGTCCGGCAGCGAGGTTTGAATATTAAGTATGATCATAGTTCGAATACTTCGTGATCCATTTCATATATTCCGTGCTCCAGATACTAGAATGGCTATCCGACGGGAATAAAACTATCTCGATCAAGAGGACAGACCCATTTTCTGTACTATCAATAGGATCAATTATAACAAGTCACACACTCATATTCCGGAAATACAGAAACAAAAAAATTTCGCGGTCGAACTACCAAAATAGAATGGGCTAAAAAAATCGAGAACTAAAAGTTTCACTTTTTGTATTGAAAAGCGAGGCTTCGTGGTTCTTGTGAATCTAATTCAGCGAAATTCCATCCAGTAAAACGGAAGAATTATAAATCTCCAAAATAATAGATAAGAATATCGAAAATAAAGCCATTGCGACACCCATCAAAGGAGTCGTTCCCCATCCAGGAGCTACTTTACCATATTCCGAATTCAATGGTTTCAAAAAATCCCCTACAACAGTTCGTCTTGGACCAGATCTAGAACTACCCTCAACGGTTTGTGTAGCCATAAATCTTATTTTGTATTCAGTGAGATCTGTTGACTTTGTATATCATTCCGCTGTAAATAAACGATCTTATCATAGATCCATTGTGATCTTGAAATTATATTTATATTTATATTATTTATATTTATATTTATATATATTATTTATATAATTATATAATAATGGAAACAGCAACTTTAGTCGCCATCTCTATATCTGGTTTACTTGTAAGTTTTACTGGGTACGCCTTATATACTGCCTTTGGGCAACCCTCTCAACAATTAAGGGATCCATTCGAGGAACACGGGGACTAATTGAAGTAATGAGCCTCCCAATATAATATTGGGAGGCTCATTACTTCAATTGAGATAATGAAAAATCATTTCATTTTTTTAGTTGGAACTTTAGGCGGTTCTCGAAAAAAGATAGCGAAAAAAATTATCCCTAGAGTAGATACTAAGAGGAATGTATAAACCAATGCTTCCATAAATTCGATCGTGGTTTACAATTATAGCTTCCGTACCTATTTATTTAGAATCATCTCCCGAATAAAATAACGAAAGAACAAGAATCAAAGAAAAGGCAGCGATTTTAATCAAGATTTTTACAGCAGCCTATGTCAAATCACAAACAGAAAATAGAAGCGAAAAATAACAAAGCAATCTTGCATCAGACTACTTGTCTTCTTGTAGTTGGATCTCCAAGTTTTTGGAATGCTCCAAATTCCACTTGAGCATCCAAATCTGGATCAATACCGGCAAAAACATCTCTGAACAGGGTTCTAGCACCATGCCAAATGTGTCCGAAGAAGAAAAGCAAAGCAAACGAAGCATGCCCAAAAGTAAACCAACCCCTTGGACTGCTACGAAAAACACCATCGGATTTCAAAGTAGCACGATCTAATTCAAAAATTTCACCCAATTGAGCACGTCTAGCATATTTTTTCACAGTAGCAGGATCACTATAACTCACTCCATTGAGTTCGCCACCATAGAACTCAACAGTTACACCTACTTGTTCGACACTATACTTCGATTCTGCCCTTCTAAAAGGAACATCCGCTCTAACAATTCCGTCTCCGTCTACCAAAACAACCGGAAATGTTTCAAAAAAAGTAGGCATACGACGTACAAAAAGTTCACGCCCTTCTTTATCTCTAAAGATAGGGTGTCCTAACCACCCAACGGCTATTCCATCCCCGTTGTCCATTGAACCCGCTCTGAATAATCCTCCTTTTGCCGGATTATTGCCAATGTAATCATAAAAAGCTAATTTTTCAGGAATTTTAGACCAAGCTTCTGATAAACTTTGATTTTCGGCTAACCCAGCACTAACCCTTCGATATATTTCTTGCTGGAAGTATCCTTGATCCCATTGATAACGAGTAGGACCAAATAATTCGATGGGGGTAGTTGCTGAACCATACCACATAGTTCCAGTAACAACAAAAGCTGCAAAAAAGACAGCAGCTATACTACTGGAAAGGACGGTTTCAATATTTCCCATACGTAATCCTTTGTATAAACGTTGGGGCGGACGGACACTAAGATGGAATAAGCCCGCTAATATGCCCAATGTCCCTGCTGCAATATGATGAGAGGCTATTCCTCCCGGAACAAAAGGATCAAAACCTTCCACGCCCCACGCTGGATTTACAGGTTGTACCTTTCCGGTTAGTCCATAAGGGTCGGACACCCATATTCCAGGACCATACAATCCTGTTACATGAAATGCGCCAAAGCCAAAGCAAGCCACTCCTGAGAGAAATAAATGAATTCCAAAAATCTTGGGCAAATCCAAAGAGGGTTTTCCTGTGCGCTCATCACAAAAAATTTCTAGATCCCAATATACCCAATGCCAGATAGCTGCCAAGAAGCACAAGCCAGAAAACACAATATGTGCTCCGGCCACACCTTCGTAACTCCAAATACCCGGATTTGTTATAGTCCGCCCCGTAATACTCCAACCGCCCCATGAATTGGTTATTCCTAAACGAGTCATGAAGGGTATAACGAACATACCTTGTCTCCACATTGGATCAAGAACGGGATCGGAGGGATCAAAAACAGCTAATTCATATAGAGCCATTGAACCGGCCCAACCAGCAACCAGAGCTGTATGCATTATATGAACAGAAAGCAAGCGACCGGGATCATTCAATACGACAGTATGAACACGATACCAAGGCAAACCCATGGAAATACCCCTTTATCAAATCAACGAAAAATAGACACTATGTAACTTTATTGCATTGGAATACCTCCCCTTTTCGGTGGATTCTTTCGGAGAAAGGATTAATGTTTGTTCTATTCCATTAGTAATAAGGGAAGAATTCGGCTCAGAAGAAAAAAGAGAAGCAGATCTATTCTATACTCGATAAGTATCAATACGCAATGGGGGTTGATCCTATTTTTTATGAATGAATGCATCCCTATTTGTTCATCATTCAAAGGACCTATTCGTAAGAATTCTCTTTCATTCATTCCGCCTTTCTTTATTTTATGGCCTTAGTCTATCTATGTATAAAATATGATAAAGGCCCATATTATTAAGACCATTATTACATATTATTAAGATAAGACCATTATTACGTATTACATTACGTATTACGCTTCCACAATCAAAGTGAAATATAATATTACATATTATAATATTACATATTATTAAGATAAGACCATTATTACGTATTACATTACGTATTACGCTTCCACAATCAAAGTGAAATATAATATTACATATTATAATATTACATATTATTAAGATAAGACCATTATTACGTATTACATTACGTATTACGCTTCCACAATCAAAGTGAAATATAATATTACATATTATTAAGATAAGACCATTATTACGTATTACATTACGTATTACGCTTCCACAATCAAAGCGAAATATAATTTTACATTCTTTTTACTTTATGCCTGTTGGTATTCCAAAAGTTCCTTTTCAAGTTCCGGGAGATAACGATGCAAGCTGGGTTGACATATAGTGCGACTTGTCAAATATATTGGGTCATATGGGATTCCCCCGTTCTCTCGCCCGATCGAGATATCCCCTGTTTCGCCCCAAAAAGATTGATTGAATTATCAAAAATTTGTAGCGGGAAGTGTAATGAAGTGCAATTAGAGATCCATTTCATGGGGGTGTATCCAGATTAATATTTTCAATTAGAATGATTTATGGTTGGCTTGGTTGGACTGATAAAATGAAGTATCCAGGCTCCGTTTAGAAAAAACCCAATTGGTAATATATTTATGATTACCACCTATATCATAATCATAATTTTTCTTTTTTTTTTAATTATAAATAAGAGCGATTTCAAACTGTTAATCAATCGAATAATATGGGAAATACGTTGAATATTTGGCGAAAAACATGAAAGAAAAAGGAATTAAATTAAAATAAAAAAAGGAAATGAAATCATAGCAAAAAGACGTGGTATTGGGTCATTTGTCCTATATGTGCAAATAAAAATCGGGCAGATCTTTACTCGGAGTAGAGCATAAACCTAAAAAAATTGAATAAAAAATTGACGAACCCCATTCAGGAACAAGAAAATGACATCGTGATTTGGATTGAATCGCAATGAAAAAAAAATGGATCAATGAAAAGTTTGTGCAATAAGTTTAGCGAATTTTTTCTATATTATAGGAAAACGGGCCAAAACTCATCTTTCTTTAATTTAATTTTAAATTTCATTTTATTTAAAAAATGTAAGAAAAAGCCCCTTCATTAGAAATTAGAAGTTAGAAAGGTCCGACTAGAAAAAACAAAGGATGGCTGGAATCTACACATTGATTTTTTTTCGCAATTTTTGTTGAACCGTATGCATCAAAAGGTGCCTGTACGGCTACTAAGGGATACAATTTTATCCTAATCAACCGAATTTATCGAGAAAGATTGCTTTTTTTGGGCAAAGAGCTTGATATCCAGACCTCGAATCAACTTGCGGGTATTATGATCTATCTCAGTATAGAGAGTAATAGCCGAGACCTGTTTTTTTTTATAAACTCTCCTGGCGGAGGGATAGTATCTGGATTATCTCTTTTTGATACTATGCAAGCAGTGGAACCAGATGTGCATACACTAGCCATGGGATTGACCGCTTCAATCGCAGCTTTTCTCTTGGTCGGAGGAGAAATTACCAAACGCAGAGCATTCCCTCACGCTCGGCGCCAATGAGTTTTTTTTTTTTATTATTGATGGAAAGAAAAAAGAAGACTATGCCTTCGCCATATGAAATATGAATTAGTAAGTAATAATAGCATGGCACTTTGAATTCGATATGAAATTTTTTTTTTATTTCTTTTTTTTTTTTTCAAAAAAAAATATTAGATTATGTATCGAAAGAGTAGTATGAGAGAAGGGGCATTTCCAATTTGATCTTAGCTATCGTGGGCCCATCTCAGGCGTCACAAACTTTTTTTCTTTTCCTACCAGAGGCTATTAACAATATTTATGTTATGAAAGAGTACGAAAAAAAAAAGACTATTTTTTTTCTTTCTTTTTTTTTTTCAAAAAAAAAAAGAAACTTTGGGATTGCTGAATCACAGACGAAATAAATATATAAAGCAACGGAGCCATCATAGTATTTTTAAACTTTTCCGAAAAAAAAAGAAAAAGAAGGATGGTAATTGGATTATTTATTAATCTGGGTCTAATAGACTCTATATTTTCTCTTTTTTTCGATGAAAGAAAAAAGAGAATTCCATTGTAAAGCCGTATGCAATTGTAAAGCCGTATGCAATGCGCAAAAAATGCCTGTACGGTTGTTCAATTCTATAGCTATTCTTCTCGCCTCATTATGTGAGTTAGAAGGTATGTTATATCATCAGGGGTAATGATCCATCAAACCTATTAGTATGCTTAAGGATGATGCTTCAAAGACTGGGTCATGGAAACAGACGAAGTAATGAAATGCAAGAAACATCCATAGAGGCTTATGTACAAAGAACGGGCCAGCCCCGATGGGTTATAAACAAAGACATGGAAAGAGATATTTTATGTCAGCAAAAGAAGCCAAAGATCATGAATGTGGATCATATAGTGCGTACAGAATCGAGACCTATAGTGAATGAAAAACCTATAGTGAATGAAAAACCTATAGTGAATGAAAAACCTATAGTGAATGAAAAACTATAGTGAATAAACAAACCTATAGTGAATGAAAAACCTATAGTGAATGAAAAACCTATAGTGAATGAAAAACCTATAGTGAATGAAAAACCTATAGTGAATAACAAACCTATAGTGAATAACAAACCTATAGTGAATAACAAACCTATAGTGAATAAAAAATGGAGACTAGTTAACGACAATGGCAATGGAAGACCACCATTTGACGACAATGGCAATGGAAGACCACCATTTGACGACAATGGCAATGGAAGACCACCATTTGACGACAATGGCAATGGAAGACCACCATTTGACGACAATGGCAATGGAAGACCACCATTTGACGACAATGGCAATGGAAGACCACCATTTGACGACAATGGCAATGGAAGACCACCATTTGACGACAATGGCAATGGAAGACCACCATTTGACGACAATGGCAATGGAAGACCACCATTTGACGACAATGGAACACCATTTAATTTTGATTTAGATTGATTTAATCCCTCTTATTCCTTTCCTTCTTTTTCTCTTTAATAGATTAATATTTTATTAATCTATTAAAGAGAAAAAGAAGTAATTCATAATCATCTGGTTAGGATCGATCTAAACCAGTCTATTATGTATATGATTGTATATGATTCAGCATGCCAACTATTAAACAACTTATTAGAAATGCAAGACAGCCAATTAGAAATGTCACGAAAGCCCCTGCTCTTCGGGGATGTCCTCAGCGCCGAGGAAGATGTACTAGGGTGTATGTGCGACTTGTTCAGATCATGGGCTGAGAAAAAGGAAACAATTTTTCAGTATCAACGATCAGTACCAGTGAATAGAATGGGGTTCTTCCGTTCACTATCTAAAAAAGATAGATCTACCATATCCTTCTATTGTGTATGAAATTTATGGTTTCCATTGGCGCAAATCCAATCTTGGAATTTTTTAAAAATTCCCCATTGGTAGCAAATGCTTATCCATTAAGCGGGGAAAATCCTATTTAAAAAGCAAAAAGATTATGCTTCGACTCTTGCAAAGAACGGACTAACAGGGTCAGCTACCCAATTAATCCTCCTAATTACATACCGTTACTGTATAAGATAGATCTCGTTGTGAAAGATCTATTACTGAAAAATTTATGAGTAGAGCCGAAGAGTGTGAACTGTACAAGTTACCAATTAAATGTTAAATGAAGGAATGAGCTCCGGTGTATAGAGGGGACCTCACCGTTTAAGAAGTAACCATAGAAACGATGGAACCCACTATTTATTTATCCATTTCTATTTACTCCTTTATTTTAGTTAATATGCTTTTTTTGATACCTAGTATCAATACAATTTCTTATTTCAAGGCGAAATGAAATGCCTAGAAAAAAGGAAAAATCGTGGGCGGGACGGTTATAGTAGCAAAAGCCATTGGAATTTTTATTTTATACATTGGAAGAATCCGTTTTGTTATTAATAGACTAGAAAAGAATAACTGAAAGAAAGAATTAGTTATTCATCAAAATTTCTTTTATTCAATGACCAGAATGAAAGAGGGATATATAGCTCGGAGACAAAGAGTAAGAGCTTTGGTTTCGGCTGATCGGGATAGAGATAGGAAAAAAAGATATTTTCGTCGTTTGTGGATCACTCGAATAAATGCAGGAATTCGAGGAATGGGGGTATCCTATAATTATAGTAGATTAATAAAAAATCGGTACAAGAAACAGTTGCTTCTTAATCGTAAAATACTTGCACAAATAGCTATCTCAAATAGGAATTGTCTTTATATGATTTCCAACGAGATTATAAAATAAGGAGATCGGAAGGAATCCACCGAAATGCTTTAAATGAAATGGGGTTCCCTCGAGAATGAACTCGAGGGAGGTAGAGTAGAAATTAATATGATAAAAAAATTCTGATAAGGTCATCAAAACAAGAAAACAAGATGAGCGAAGACGCTCAATAAAAAAAAAAAAATTTATTTTTCTTCCCCAACCCGATTCGATTCTTTTATTTATTTCTTTTTTCTTACGACACGACAATTTTGATTATCAGATTTTTTGAATAAAGCATCAGTCTACGTTTGATAATTTTGAGTCAATTGAAGGGTAAGCCTATTTATTTCTGGTTCTAAGAGCAGTAGTTCTAGCGGTCGACTCTCTTCTTTCAAATCGTTTCTCATTTCTGGTTCTAGTTCTAGCGGTCGACTCCCTTCTTTCAAATCGTTTCTCATTATTAATAAAGGGTAACGAAGATAAAATACGAGCTTGTTTTATAGCAATAGTAATTAATCGTTGTTGTTTTAAAGTCAATCTATTTACTCGCCTAGATAAGATTTTTCCTTGTTCACTAATAAATCGACTAATTAAACTCATGTTTCTATAATCAATTCGATCCCCCGATTGGATCGGGGGCAAACGCCTACGAAAAGATCGCTTGTATTTATCCATCATTTCTTTATTCCTTATTTCTAAAAATAATCCTATCCTATCCTTTTCTAAAATCCTATTTTGATCGGATCAAATTCAAATTATAGAATTAATAGAATAAATACGATTTGCTTTGTTTTTTTTATTATTGTATTATTTATTTATTATTTATTTCTTATTTATTTGTTTATTTTATTAGTTTATTTTAATTATTTATTTATTATTTATTTGTTTATTTTATTAGTTTATTTTATTATTATATTATTTATAGATATTTATTTAAATATAATTTCATATTTTAATATATTTAATATATAAATATAATTTCATATTTTAATATATTTAATATATAAATATAATTTCATATTTTAATATATTTAATATATAAATATAATTTCATATTTTAATATATTTAATATATAAATATAATTTCATATTTTAATATATTTAATATATAAAATATAAATATAATTTAATATTTTAATATATTTAATATATAAATATAATTTAAATAAATATCTATAACTGTATAATACATAAATAATAAATAAATATAATTTATAAATATATATAAATATAATTTCATATTTTAATATATTTAATATATAAAATATAAATATAATTTAATATTTTAATATATTTAATATATAAATATAATTTAAATAAATATCTATAACTGTGATAATACATAAATAATAAATAAATATAATTTATAAATATATATAGAACCGACACGAAATAATAATAATTAATAAAATAAGAAATAATAATGAAATATAGTAATAAATACAAATATAGTAATAACTAAAAATATAGTAATGAATAAATCATACAATATAATAAATAATACAATATTAACAATATTAAAATTAACAACAATATTAAAATTAACAATATTAAAATAATCATTATGCACGAATAGAAAATAAAAAAAAAAATAGTTAGTGATATTAAAAATCTAATTCCTAATCAATGAAAATCCAACTCCTAATCATTCGAAGACTGTAAACTAAAAATCATTCGAAGACGGTAAACTAAAAAAATAAATAATTGACTCGAGAATAAAGAAAAAATTATTAAAAAATAAGAACTAAATAAAAATAGAATAAAAAAAAATAAAAGAATATTGATACAATCATATACCAGGTTAAAAAGGTTAAAAATTTATTAACGTGCATATCGAATAATTTAAAACTAAAAACTTCACTTTAAAAAGAAAGCGTGGAATAGACAAGGAAATACAAATATAGACTAATATATAAATAAAATATTTGTTATATATTAGTTATATATTATATCTAACTAATTATATACTTAATATTACTTAATATATTATATAATATATATTATTATACCTGAATACCTAATGTCCTATTTTCTCATACTAAATACCTAATGTTACCTAAATACCTAATGTCCTATTTTCTCATATTCTCGGGAAGGGTTGACATACGAGTACTTGATTCGATTTATTTCTTTATCTCCCCGTGAATTGTATGTTTGTAACAATAGGAACAGAATTTCTTCAATTCCAATCGACTAGGCGTATTGTGTCGATTTTTTTGAGTAATATACCTGGAAATGCCCGTTGATTCCTTATTAACGACGTTTCGAACACAACTGGTACATTCCAAAATAATCGTTACTCGGACATCTTTACTCTTGGCCATGAACCCCCTTTGAGTTTTTAATTCACCCAACTCTTCTATTTTCCGATCAAAAGTGAAGAAGAAAGGAATGAAAATAAATAAATAAAAGTTGCTAACTCAAAACCAAATCCTGAAAGATTTCGTTGCAATCAATTGCAATCAATATAGTAAATCAATATAGATTATAGTAATAGTAAATAATAAGAATAAGTAATACAATGATTTCTAACTCGATTTAGAATCACAGTACGGTATTTTCTTTAAGTATCTTGTAGGATACTGTTGTTCCAGCCACATTTCTCT